TTTTTTTTTTTTGTCTTTTGAAGACAGGTTCTCCATATGCAGCTCAGGCTGGCCTTGAGCTCACTTTGTAGCCCAGGCTGGTCTCGAACTCGCAGTTCTCCTCCTGCCTCAGCCTCCCTAGTGCTGGGATTACAGGTGTGCACCATCACGCCTGGCCTTCCAAACAAGAAACTTTATATTGCTAGAAAGTTTTTGATTTTGAAGTTTTTGTTTGTTTCTCTCTAAGACTGTGCTTACCTTTTGTTTTTGAAGGTGCCCAGTTGCTGTTCAGACCCCTGTTAAATAAGCAGGAAAAGGAAACACTAGGAAATGAGAACTTGTACCTCGTGGGTGCCTCCAGGACCCGCCTGCTTCTGGGCGCGGAGGCAGTGGGGCTGGTGAGAGAGTGCATGGATGGCACCATGCGCGCCTTCACCTATGGCACCCGGCTCAGCTTCAGAGGCTTCCACGGTAAGCCCGCTTCCTCTGTCCCAGTCCATTTGTCACACAGAAGTGTTTGCCGAGTGTGTCGGGGGCCAGAGCCTTTTCCACAGGGCCAAATAGCAAGCGTTTTGTGGACAGTGTTGTCTCTCCTGGAGTTAATTCCGTAGTCCATGGTGGAGCGGAAAGCAGTCCTAGACCATGAGGAAATGAGTGGACAAGGCGGTGTTCCAGTAGAGCTTTATTTATAAAGCCCTGGGGCAGGCCACCTTTGCCGCCCCAGGAGTCGGTAAGGACAATTGGGACGCATGTGCAGCTCATTTACATTATTTATTCTGTTTCACAGTGATGAAATTCTCTCACTTGACATAGAAAAATCTTCATAATAAGAAATGGTGGTAGGTCTCTATCCTCGGATCCCCATTTCCTGAATGTGCTGGCTCCTCCCGAATAGGGGAGGGTAGTTGGGTGTGTCGTGACCCAGGGAGTGCTTCCCACCAGGAACTGGGCAGGCTGGGGAGCTACATCTTGAGGGGCAGTGGGTGGGTTCTTAGGGTTCTTCAGACAGGCGCACCATGGACCTCTGCACCCCAGGGACTTCATGATCAGGCCAAATGGACCTCACTTAAGAAGGTCCCTGGCCTAGGCAGCACAGGGCTCTTATCAGCTTTTCTTCGCTCACTGACATTGGACTCCGGATGGAATAAAAAGGGCTTGGAAGTTTGAAGGAGAAGGTTTTTCCACTTAGGCAAACACAGCATTTCCATCCCTGTCTACAAATGTTGTCAGAATTCAAGATCGCATTGGCTTCTGCCCTTGGCACTGAGTGAGCTCAAGCACGTGTGTGCATTTGGACATTTGTACCTTGCCGTGGGACAGGTAGTAGGTGATTGGAGAGTTGTATTATGAGCAGGTGTAACCAAAGCATAACCAAAATGTTTTGTTCTTAGCAAAGATCTAAGAAACTGTATATTCCATTGAATTTACCAGTTTTATATATGATTACTCCTCCTGTCAGTTGCTGTTGTATACATCGGTATTTCCGTAACCTCTAGCAACTGGAGTCTTACTGCTGAACTTTCTTTTGATTACAAGACAATAACGAGAAGTTTGTGTTTTATTCTAGATGACAATGACGATTTCCTCACCATGGCAGAATGTCAATTCATTGTCAAACATGAGCTGGAAAATCTTAGAGCTAGAGATGAGAAGATGATCCCGGGGTACCCTCAAGCGAAGCTGTATCCAGGAAAGTCTCTGTGTAAGTTAGGCTGTCAGCCAGGTGCATGGGCTCATATTCTAATTCAACTGCTCTTTCATAAAAAGCAAACTTAATAAATAGCAACTACAGAAACTTTACTTTCCTCCTTACTGAGAAACTGGTAGAGCCTTAGAATAAGTAGCATGACCTTGTCTTTGCCAACAGTGGTCTATTATATTGCACATTTCACCGTTGTGTTTGTTCTGTATGGTTTGCTGCTTTTTAAGGTCTCACAGCCCATAGCTGGCTTTGCGTGTGTGTTTGTGTGGTACTAAGGGTTGAGCTCAGGCCTTTGTACTAAGCTAAATCTCTAGACCTCCCTGCCTTTGTTTTTCATTTTGAGATAGAGTCTCGCTAAGTCTCTAAAGAGCCCTGACTGGGCTTGAGCTTACATCCTTCCTGCCTCAGCCTCCCAGAGTGCTGGGTTCGTAGGGGTGCACCACACTGCACCATAATGAAGATCTGCAGTGCCCATCCCCTCTGATCCTGCTGGTGCTGAACAGGCTCAGGCAGATGGAGGTTTAAGGAGTGTACAGGGGCACACAGTACCTGAAGTTTGCGACCTTTTGGTTTTGTGTAGTTCTGTTTTATTCAGAACACTGTGTTGCAGAATGAAAGAGTTTACTACAATGTATAATTGCAAATTTGCTTCAAACCCAGATAGCAGCAAGGCCCCAGCCTTTTTGCTGCTTCCAGTACACTTCAGCCATGTCGCTTCGGTGTCCCCCGTCTGGTTTCCTGAGTTGCCACCGTAATGCTGCCTTCCAGCCTTTGCTTGGGAGGACGAAGCCCCATGACAACATCCATGTTGACGTTTCCTCAGATCTGCCGTAGATCACCCGCTTGGTGGTTATGTGTCATCGATATACAGGAAAATGTAACTTCCAACCTGCTAGGTGTCAGACATGCCAAGTTCATGTTCCCTGAAATCAAAGAATGAAGTCTAAGGAACAACGGAGGTGAAGAAAAGGAAAATTTATTGAGAGAGATAGCTCCTGAGAGATAGGAGGGGACCCAAAAGTGGGTTGCCAATGAACCCACTTTTCTGAGAAAGTTTTCTAGAGCAAAGTCACGAGATGGGTAAGATGAGGGTTAAATAATAACCAGTAAGATTACTAGTATAGTCACTTAGCTAGTACTGATCTAGTAGTAACAAGGGCATATGGACGACATCGTTAACCTTGGCTGATAATCTATAGTCTTAGTCTTGTCTTTACTCTCAGTTTTAGTAGTCTTAGTCTTACATTTAGTAGTTTTAGTCTTAGTAGGTGGGAGAGGATGGCCCACCCCCAGTGAGATAAGCGGTCTGTTTATGTGGGAAATCTCAAAAGGGTGGTACCAGTAATCTCAAATTTCTATTAATCCCTTAAGGAAGTATGCAAATCTGGCCATTGCGACTTTGATCTTTTTTAGATGCGCCTCCAGCCACAGCTGTGATGAGTTCTCATCTTCCGGCTGACTCTCTGGAGGGCCCAGCCCTGTCTGACTGCCTAGAATATTTCTACCTAATTTAGCTGTCTATAATATATTCAGTTCAAACTTAACGTTTTAGAATTTTACTTAATTTCTTTGGCTATATGTTTGCATTTGTTTTTACTTACATTGCAAATGTAACTTAGTAACTTTACCACAATTAGTAATTAGCTTTATCTTCCAATTTACATAAAATAATTTGTAAAGCCATGCTATAACTTCAGTGTTAGCAAGTTCTGAATAAAGTTTAAGACTTCTTTCTTTCATTACTACTCATAGTCAAAATCAGATCTGTTTTTTAAATTAAGCCTTGGTAGAATTCCTTTAAGAAATCACCTGGCTCTGATCTTAGTTTATGGGGTAGGTTTTGAAGAATTTTCTCTAAATCATCTGTAGAAATGGTTTGTTTAGATTTTTTTTACTGGGGTCAGTATCTCTTCCTAGAAGTTTCCATGCTATCTAGGCTTTAAAACTTAGGTGAATTGATTTGCGCAATTTCTCTTGAGATCTAACACTTGCGTTGTAATGGTTTGTTTTTACTTACCGTGTTTGTTTTGTTTATATTTGAAATTTTTTTTCTCATTAGCATTTAGATACTGAAGATATGCCTGTGTTCCAAGAGCTCCTGGGTGGGGAGATCTTGCTCCGAGGACTCCAGACCGCTGTCTCCCACCATCCTTCCCCCAGCATGCACTGTCCCGGGTGCCCCCTTCCTAACCTTCAGTTTCTGAAGCAGCGCTGTCCCCCGCCAGCACCTGCGTCCAGTGCACTTCCAGCCTTTTCCTTGCGCCCCTCCTGTGCTGTGCCGTCTGTCAGCCCCAGCCCTGTCCTTGCAGAGTCACATGCAGTGTGGAGCCTTTTCCCAAAGGAAGGTGATGGGTCCCGTGGAGCTGGTATTAGCTGGGTTACCCCATTCGGACTCTCCTGCCTTGCCTGTTCTTCGAGCAGCTCTTGCTGGCTTCGTCCCCCACCCGAGACTTTAGGCCAGACGTCTTCCGGTCCCCAGGACCCTGATGGCCTGACTTCCTAACTGCAGTCTCCTCTGCCGTCGGTGCATGTCTTGGATCTTTTCCTTGCTCTTCAGTCCATCTGTGTGGCTTCAGGAGACCTCAGGAAATGTGAATGTGGGCACCCGCTGCCCATGTTGGTCTCCTTGCAGCTGCCTGCTTATGCCTGGACAGTGATTGTCTTGTGCCAGGTCTTTCATTGGACACAGATCTTTGACTGTAGAGATTAAAGATTGCCATCATTTAAGGAAATTTTCTTAGTTACTTTCGAAGGGTTATTTGCTCTAGTCTTGTCCTTAGGGGTGTGAGTTATTTATATGTGGGTGGCTCTTATGTATTGCCTGTAATATTTAAAGATCTTTGTCCTTAGGTACTTTTCTTAGTTTTTTTCTATCATTTTCCTGACTGCATTTTGACATTGGCATTAATTTTTTCAACCTCATGAAGAATTTCATAGATTTTTCAATGCTTGATGGTATAATTTTCTGATTTGGTCTCTCTGTTTTACCCTCCCTCCTTCCTTCCTTCCTGCCTTCCTGCCTTCCTGCCTTCCTGCCTTTCTGCCTTCCTGCCTTCCTGCCTTCTTTGTTGTTGTGCTCCCTGTAGTATTTTTACATACCTCAATGATTATTTCTTTCTGATTATTACTTACTTTTCAGTGAACCCCTGTTTTCCCCAGATTGGCAAGTGGAAGGAAGCATGTGTGTTGGAAAGCCAGGTCGGGACTGTGTGGGAAGCAGCTCAGACCTGCCTGGCAGTGCGCTCTGCAGAGGCTCTGCGGAGCCCTGTTCTTGGAGGGGCTCTTACTTCTACTGGGCATTAGGCTGCTTTTGACCAACCAATATGGCAGGTCCAGAGCGACTTGTCTTCTACCCTGGGCTGCAGCAGGAAACTTTCTTCTAGCATGGCAGCCCTTGTGATCTTTGGAAAAGTTCTTTTTTCAAAAATACCATCTGAGATAAGAATCCTATTTAAATTGTCAAATCTGAATTTTTAAATTCTGCATTTTTCTCTTTGTTTATGCCTTTGGAAATGTGATCCTTAAAATTGTGTGTTGTTTTGCATTATTTTGTTGTATATCATTATATTTGGCTGAAGAAGAAATAATAGATGCATAATTATAAGTTGAAAACAGTTTTCAGAGTGCAAATTCAGAAGTCACAAAACTTGGAGTCCTAGCTCTTTTAGTACATTAATCCAGCAGCAAGATGTGTATTTCTCCTGTGGGTTTTGCGGGAGGTGGTGCTGCCTCGTGCAGACCCTTGTTGGAGGCTGATCACAGATGTCACCTGCTCAGCACACTGCCCCTTAGCACTTACAGGAGGCTGGGCTGTCTTGAAAACACTCACCACATCCAAGGTTTCACGCAACTCTTGTTTGACTCCCAGTGACTGCAGGTTTGCTGGCTGCGTGCCACATGTGTGCTCTGGTAGGAAGTACTCACTGCATAGAGAGCTGTGTTGTTGGGAACATGACTTTGAGGCCGGTGGGTGCTGAGAGATTCATCATTAGTGCTCTTCCTGGCCCCACCAGGTGCAGGTGCTGCGAAGAGCTGGATGTTGGCTCCTCACCGTAGTTGGCAAATGTTGAACTTGACAGCTGTTTACCACCAAGACCCCTTCCTGCCGTCAGCTCACCTTCTCCTACTGTTTCTTCGCTGAGGTGCAGAAAGCAGATGAAAGATTCTTTTAGAAAAAGGCGTTAGAGACCCATGGCTTCTTACATATTAACTCTATCCTACAGGATGTTACTTAGCCTGGGTTACTTAGCTTTGTCTCCAGAGGTCTGCCACATGTGTGTCCTGTTTGGAGCTCAGGAGCTCTGTGTCCTGCTTGGAGTGATAGGAGCTTGCATATGGTCTCAGGGAGTCCCTTCAGGGTTCCCATGTTGGGGGCTTTGTCCCCAGTGAGGTGGTGTGGGCAGTGATGGAACTGTTAGGAGGTGGCCCTAGTGAGAGCTCCTAGGTCATCAGAGTGTGCACCCTTGAGAGGACCAGGTGCCTCATCCTCCCTGGCTTCCTGTTTGATGATGTGATCACACCCTATCCCATGTGCTACAAGACTGAGCTGGTACTGGTGCCGTGCCTCTGAATCTGTGAGCTAAGTAAACCTCTTTTCTTATAAATTTAGTCTTCCTCAGGTCTTCCATTATAGTAACAGAAAAAGGACTAATTCAGAACCTGACACATCTCATGGCTTTAATATCAGATAGTTATTCTTGTTTTGTTTTTGTTTTTGTTTTTCTCTGGTACCGGGAACCGAACTCACGACCTTGCACTTGCCAGGCAGGCGCTTTTGCCGCTGAGCTAAATCCCCAGCCCCAGATAGTTATTCTTGTACAGCATTATGGTAGGTTCTCTTCAATATCCTCTGTATACAAGAAAGGGTAGGTTAGAGCACTCAGATATAGTCTGTCTTCTGAAATCTTTAACTGGCATTATAAAAGTAGTAGAGTAGGTTTCAAGTCAGTATGTGTATCAGGAATGTACAGAGAAGATACAGACATATATGTGATTATATGAAAGAAGATTCAGCTGTATGTATGATTCAGCCATACATACGAATGAACATAGCCATATATGAATATATATCTTGCTGGGCACCACAAGACACACACACATACAGAGACAACTGTGTTTTGATGTATATATTTGTGCCTTTTGTATTAAGCAGAGATAAAAATGAAACAGAAGTACGGAGATATAAAATGTGTTTTAAGAGCACAGGTACCCCTGAGAGTGTCTTTAGAAGTGGGCTGTTCAGGGCACGCACCGGAGGCGGGTGCTGGGTGCCACAGGGTGGTGGGGGAAAAGGGGCGAGAGGCGAAGGGCATCTTCCTATAGGGCATGGCCTGCTCCTCCCTGGTGTACAGCACACTGTAGAGCCCTGAGAAAGACTTTGCTTTCCCTTTTGAAGTGGATGTAGCACATAAACCACAGACGGAAGCAGTGCTGTGTTGGCATTGTTGCTGCTCTGTCTAAGTAGCAGGCCTGCCAGAAGCCGCGGTACCGAGTGCGTCCTTTACACTGGGCCTAGGCTTGCTTGGCTGCCCCACCGTGGCTGTCAGTCACCCGTGCTCCACAGCTCCCTCCCGCAACCTGGGGGAGGGACGTGGATGGTTGCTGCTTTCCTCACCGGCCAGTGCCAGTGCGGTAGCTTGGCTCCCTCCTAAGGTCTGGCTTCTGTCTCGGAATTTCATTCTTAGTTGAGGGGAGAAGGTTGGAGGAGTTTTAAAGAAAAGCAAACTATTTTTAGGAGGTGAAGCCGGAACCGTGCTTTGGCATGGATGGCGAGGAGAAGCCCAGTAATTTAGGAGTCGCAGCTCTGTATTCCCTCCCAGTGCGGGGATCACAGCCCTATTTTTAGAAATACACAGTCTGGTTTAGTCGGCCTGGAAAGTCTTCCATAGTAGAGTGGAGTCATCTTTTATAAAATAACTTGGAAATAGTAAAATAATAACTTAGATGCTGTATCTGAGCTCAGAGTTAAAAAACTTGATGTAGTCATTGGAAAGGATAGAAGTAACCAAAAGGACTCGGCGACAGCCTGTGCGCCCTCAAGTAAAGGATAAGAGCATGGGAATGGTTGTGGGTGATTGACTTTAGCTCATGTTAGCTGAAGGAAGATCCATGGAAACACTTTAGAGTGAAAATAGTTTAAAAATGGATTTGACAGCACCAGTGGCTGATGTAACTTAAACCATATGTCTTCATGCCCTGGCTGCTGGTATTTTGAGTATATACCTTTTTCAGTCTTTAAGAGGGATTTTATCAAATCTTAGCTGTTAAAAAGTCTTTTCTCCCCTGTATAACTTACTTAGGAGATGTAATGCTAAGAACCATATATGAAGAATCTTTGTTTAAGACCCAGGCCTTTTCCTGTTTTTGGTATCAGGTATCTCTCTTCATTTTTAAGAAGTTAAATTGCTCTGAGGATGTTTTACTAGGAATCTGTCCTGAGTCCTCCCCGCCCCCGTCTGTCTCTGTCCTCTATAAACTCGCACACTGGAATCCTCAGTCCTGTTTCTCTTCCACACTGCTGGTCTCACTGAGGGGCTCATGCTTGTATCCAGCTCCCTGTCTTTGGCAGCAGATAGGCAGGGGTTCAGGGCAGCACCCCTTGGAGAGGAGAGCTGATGAGCCCCGCAGAACTCATGCTCTGCAGCACTCACACCCCACAGTGGAGCAAAGCAGCAAGGCGTTCTTGATGCATTTCTTCTAGGCAGTGGTATCAGTCTACATGGAGGGTTTTATCACAATCTCAGCCCTAGCCAGAGACAGGACTGGGACTCAAATGGAAGCCGTCCTGCCTGGCCACACAGCACAGGACCTTGTGGCAGCGTCCTCTTTTCCCCTGGACATACTTCATCCCGAGGAGCCCTCCCTCCCCACAGCAAGTCACTGAGTAATCTTTACAGCCAGAGGACGCCACCTCCTCCTCGTTCACTGTTGCTAGGAGACACCGTCTTTGGTTAGTTGTATTTATCTTTCCAAGTCTGAGCGTGAGTGTTTAAGCCATACTAGTCAAATGACTGCTGAAAGTGGGCAATCTTAGTCTGATTTTGAGATGTCCTGTTTGTGGGTAGGTCTTTGTAATTAGATTAGAAAAGATGAACACACTCAGTATCAATAAGAACCAAAGGGGTGGAACATTTCCCTACCTTCACTGTAGCAGAAGGACAGATTGGTGGAATATTGTAGAGGAAGTTTTGTGATATGTGTCCAATTTAAAATATCTGTGCCTTTGGACCAAGCAGTTCCACGTTCAGGTATACATAATGGAGAGAGTCTACAGGTGGGAAAAGGCGATTGTACAAGGATTGTAGCATTATGCATAATAGCAGAAAAGAGAAATAAGTGCCTTTCAATGGGAGATTAAATTATCATACTTCATATGGATATGTATTATGACACTTACAAGCACATTTCAGGTTCTGTTTGTATCAGCGTTGAAAAATAATAGATAACACTACATGAGAAAAGATTGGAGAGCAATGCAGTGATATAAAGTGCTTCTGTTTTTGTTTTAAAATTGTTTATTTATGAATGTATTTTTAAAAGTCTGGTTATACATAAATTGCTACTTTTAATGACTTGGGGAGTAGGGAGAGGAAAACAGGCCTCTCTTGTCCTACTTTTACCCCTTTTAAAATTTTTATATCAACTGGTATTGCTTTCCCAAAGATAATAGTAAAAATATTTGCCGTCTGAGAAGCAGGAGCCTGCACACAGCCGGACAGGCTGTGTGACGGTGACCTCCTGTAGCGTCCCGCTTCCTGGGCGTCCTCACAGAGGCGCTGGAGGGCATTGCATGCAGTCTCCCGCCCATTCGATGTTGTCTGACACACTTTCCCTCCGCAGTGAGAAGGCTGCTCACGTCTGGCATTGTGCTCCAGGTGTTCCCGCTGCACGACAACGAGGCCCTGAAGAAGCTGGAGGACACCTGGTACACTCGCTTCTCCTTGCACTATCAGCCCGTAGGTAGGCGTCAGTGTGCACCGCCCCTGTACACACTGGGTATCAGCTTGTGTCAGGCTCTCAGTGGAGCGGGCCTTCCTCTGCCCCATGCTGTTCTGACAGTAGAGATGAATGTGTGCCCACAGGCTGTTCTGGAGCGTGTGTGGAATCTCGTTTTCTGCTTTTGAATACTTTTTGTTCAGCATATTGGAATTCTGTTATGGCACAGTGGTGAAAGTGCATAGCTTTGGACAGGGAGATCAGGAGGCTGCAGATGGGAGTCTCCTTGGCAAGGAGCATTTACAGCTGTAATACCAAAGAGGGGGAAAGTGGGAGGCATACATTTGATACCCAAATCAATTTCTCCAGAGGCATGCTGGAGCTCAACTGGCATCTTGGAGACTAGGTGGAGCCCCAAGATGAGTCTTTCTTTGGGAAGAAGGGACTCAGTGAAGAAGTAAAGGGAAACTGAGTCAGGGTATCTGGCAGAGCAGCCTGGGCAGCTAAGTTAGAGGCCTTGCACTGAGAAGTGAGAGCTTGCCATGGTGACAGGTGGGGCCTGCCTTCTGCAGGCAGGACAGACGCGGCCCAGGTACTCATTGAGAAATGAGGATGTTGAAAGGTCCCCACTTAGCTGAACACGTGGACAAGCATAACTGCAGGGATGAACAGGAAGGTTTTGATGGTCTGTTCTGAAGTTCTTTCTTTCCTCCACCACAGACCATATTCGTGGCTACTTTGGGGAAACGATTGCTCTTTACTTCGGGTTTTTGGAGTTTTTCACTTTTGCCTTAATCCCCATGGCTGTCATTGGACTGCCATACTACTTGTTCGTGTGGGAGGACTATGACAAGTACGTGATCTTCGCCTCCTTCAACCTCATCTGGTCCACCGTGATCCTGGAGGTGTGGAAGCGCGGCTGTGCCGACATGACCTACCGGTGGGGGACGCTGGTCATGAAGAGACAGTTCGAGGAGCCCCGGCCTGGGTTCCATGGGGTCCTGGGTGTCAATCCGGTCACCGGCAGGGAGGAGCCCCTCTACCCAAGCTACAAGAGGCAGCTGCGCATCTACCTGGTCTCCCTGCCGTTCGTGTGCCTCTGCCTGTACTTCTCTCTGTACGTCATGATGATCTACTTTGACATGGAAGACTGGGCCTTGCATGTCCATGAGGAAAGTGGGACCGAGTGGACCAGCGTCCTGCTGTACGTGCCCAGCATCATCTACGCCATTGTGATTGAGATCATGAACCGCCTCTATCGCTACGCTGCCGAGTTCCTTACTGCCTGGGGTGAGCACTTGTGCTTTGTCTTCTTGTCTCATTTGCTCCTATGAAATGTTCTGGGATCAAAGGCTCCCAGAGCGGCTTTGGCAGGGAAGGCAGACATTCTTTCAGCTTGTGCTAGAGACTGTGTACCGGCGCCTCGCTAAATACTTTACCCACAGTCTCTCAGGAGAAGCTCCCGGCATTGTGAGCTGTAGGGTCTCTGTCTTCTGGTTTTCCTGGTTACCACAGCTGTTCCGTGTTTCTGTTTTGTTTCTTAGTGTTTCATTTGTTTTTTTGGAGACAGGGTCTTGCTATGTAACCCCAGCTGGCCTTGACCTCACTGTGTTGTCCAGGCTGGGCTCCAGTTTATGATGATCCTCATGCCTCAGCCTCCTGAGTGCTGGGATCACAGGTGTGCACCACCACGCCCGGCCACAGCTCTGAGTCACTGAGTGTGACTGTGTGCCGGCACCTCACTAAACGCTTTACCCACAGTCTCTCATTTGTACTTCCTCAGGGCACCATGCTTTGTGTTGTTTCACCATTTTATGGATAAAAGATGTTGATGCTTAACCAGGTTCCAACAACAGACAGTGGGGCCGGGCTAATCCAGACACATCTGCACAGAACCGCTGCTGCTGATACTGTCACACTGTTTCCTGCAGAGGGTGAAGTGACCGGAAATCGTCCTCATGACTCTCGGCCAGCAGCTCAGACGTGCTGTCTAGCTGGGTGGGCACAGGGCATGGCCGGTGTGCCTGGTTGTACAGGTGGCACATGCCCCGGCGCACCTGTCCATCCTCTGCCCTGTGCCTTGCTGCCTGTGGGCTCTATGGTGTCACTACCTCTAGATGAGGATAGGAATTTGGATTTCTCTTCAACTTAAATTCTTGTAAGCGGCAGGACCAAAACGTCATTTTCTTCCTCTTTAGTGGTCACCTTCAGCTTTTACTATCATCAGTTATGCAGAGCTTTTTTCTTCTTCTTAGTCCTGGGGATTGAACTCAGCAAGCATCAGGGTTCATCCCAGCATCTATTTTTGCAGTCCTGGGGCCAGAACTCAGGGTCTCCCTTGCTAGGTCAGTGCTCTGCCAGTGAGCTGCATCCCCAGCCCTTTTTCACTTGATTTTATTTTTGAGGCCATCTTCCTAAATAGCTAAGATACCCCACCTGGCCTTGAATTTGTGCTCCACCTGCCTCAGCCACTAGAGTAGCTAGGATTAGAGCTATGCACCACCGTGCCCAGCTTGCAGGGCCTTGTTTTGGCCTGTTTAGAATAATTTGCCAGCAGTTTCCAAATTTCTAAATTTATTTTTTGCACTAATATTTTATAAATAATGACAGACCACAGTGGCACTCCAGGACCCTGAGAAATGCATCCCTGCTTGCTGTTCCTGGTGGTAGCGAGTGGCTGTGACCACAGCCCAGAGAGGGTAGCGATGGAAGCTCTGGCATGAGAAGTCTGCTCTGAGCCCAGGTCCCACTGTACCTGGGGCAGTGAGCCCACGTTGTCTTCCTACCTGAGAGAAATTCTGTCTTCTTCTTAATGTTTTAGAGAATCACAGATTGGAATCTGCCTACCAGAATCACCTCGTTCTGAAAGTCTTAGTGGTAAGTAGAGGTTTTACATACAAATCCACTCAAATTATGAAACTAAAGCATACTGTTTAAAACTGAGAAACATAAATATGAAGTTATTTCTAATTTAAGATATGATATGGTTAACATAATTTGTATACACAGGCAGGATTGGAGAATAAATAATGTGTCAAACTGTGTTTAGCAGTTATATTACAAATGTGTACATGGTGCAACACTTTAAATTTTGGAAGTAACAGCCCATTTCCATTATGTGAAAAGTGAAGCGTTTTCTAGACAGGTTTCCACTGTTACTCTTTCAGTTATCTTTTTGAATATTTTATTATTCAGCAGTCTCCAGGTACCTACAGTCTGTTTAGTGAAGAGGCATTAAATCATCTTTAAAATTTTATTATAAAAAGTTTGAGAGCCTAACAGGTTCCCAGCATTCTTTGCAGGTGGGAAGAGAGAGGTGGAAAGGAGAATGTTAGGGCTTTCCGTGTGCAAGTGGGCCGTAGCCCCTGCGCCTTTCACTGTCAGGAATAAGGAGGCACCTCCGTGGCGGAGAACAGCCCCAGCCTTTGTAGCATCACCGAGGACCCGAAGGTGTAGAGGAGCCAGCTCTGCCTCGGGAGGGTGTCCCACGGTCCCTGCACTATGCGCTTAGGGGCCGTGTTCCAGCCTGAGACTTCCTCCTAAGATATTTGTCCATCTGGTGTTTCGGTCCCTAAAAGATCAGAAACCTCCATGAGGAGAACTCTGGAAATAGCTGAGCTCGTAGAGGCAAGGGCAGCTAAGGACGTGGAAAACCTGCCTCAGACAGATAAGGATTCAACAGCCTGGCCATTAAAAAGGAGCAGGTAGTCAGGAGGCATCTGAAAAGCTCGGGGGCCTCATTCACCCTGTGGAAGGACTGATGTTTCAAACATCTGTGAATCAGCAAGGAAGCTGTGTTCCGTGCCACGCTGCTGTCTGCAGTGCTGGATGCAACTCCAGACGATGGCCTTCCAGAGACCTGTGTGTTAGTCTGTTCTTCCTCCTTCCAGCTGAGCAGCTTTAGCTTTTCAACTTCTGCTCTGAGTTAGCACCACTCGTCGACCTGATTGATCTTTCTGCTCACTGCTGGAACGATTTGCACACTCACCGACGGGGCTTTCACTTTCACACATGTGGCGTCTCTGTGTGTGCAGCCGGAAGTGGCTGGGACCAAACCCCCAGTGCGAGGGTGGCTGCAGGTTCTTGAGCCAGGGGCCCACTTGAAGACATGGCATGTTTGGTGGCAGGATCCCCTGACCTGTAGCCCCTGCCACTCCCCTGTACTTCTAGCAGGCAGAGAGGTTCTGCCCCTGGTGATCAGAATGCTACCAGGCTGGGTGACTGTCATGGCCAGGTCTCCCTGGCCCGCCCTGCTAGTTGTCCTGGGTTCCCGTGAGGGAGCAGGGTCTGAGCCTCCTGAGCACAGAGCGGCTTCTCACATCAGGCCCCTTGGGTGGCAGGTTGCCCGCCACGTCTCTAGCTGCCACCACTTTCCCCACTTTTGAGCAGGGTGGGTACAAGTCTGTGGCACAGGGGCTTCAGGGCCTGGGCTCTTGTTGCAGTGGTACCTTTCTTGCCATGGCTGCTGGCCCCTGGCACCTCTCTGTGGGGCTGGGCAGAGTATGTCCCTGGCCTGATTGACTCCCCTTCACTGGTTCTGCAGGGCTGGCTGGGGTTGGGACGCTCCCACGTGAATGGGGGTCAGGAGACACTGCCTGCCGGGTCTCAGTCTCCATCTCTCCAGTGGAAGACCTAGGAGGAGTGTTCCTTGGTCCTGGGCTCCCAGATGGGGCACTGTGCCCTTGGTACCTTTCCGGACTCCCCTAGTATTGCCTCTCGCATTCTTGCAGAGCTGATAGCTGTGTGTAGTGGGGGGCAGAGGCAGAAATGTCTCTGCGGCTCCCTGCTGCGTGCTTAACCCCATCTCTGCAGGGTTGAAGGCCCCACAGAGTGCAGCTGATACCGCCCTCTCTCTCCGCAGTTCAACTTCCTGAACTGCTTCGCCTCCCTCTTCTACATCGCCTTCGTCCTGAAGGACATGAAGCTTCTGGGCCAGGTGAGTGTGGGTTGCAGAAAAGCAGAGGCCTTTTTGGGTCCTGGAGATTGTTTCCTGTGTTCAGGTAATGTAGTCATCTTCAAATTCTGATTTTTACAAGTAAAATCTTTTACATTTTCTAAACCTAATTCTAGATTTAAAGCATTAGCATTGTGGAGCACGTTCAGCTGAAAATAAATTAAACATAAACAACTTGCAAGGGTAATCACATCAGGCAGTAAAATCAGTTATGTGTTCAGTTTTGTTAAAGCAATTCTAGCAGCAGAAATGTGTTCAGCGATTGAGCTTTTGTGTATGTCTTGGGAAAGAGCTGATTGATATAAACTTAAACAGGTCCTGTGAGTTTTATTTTTAAATTAACCAGTTATTAAACTTTATAGACCAGTAGATTTTGTGAAGTGCTCTTTCTTCCCTTAAGTGTTTGAGAAAGTCCTACATTTATTTTGGTGTGTTGTACTTTTTGGAACATATAATAACACTAACTGATAAGTTGTGGACAAATGACTAATTTCTAGGTTGTGCTTTTTGTACTTCAGCCAGTTATCAGTAAAAGGTGTTGATTCCTGGTTCTAATATTCTGAGATAGTTAGCAAGCAGTGTCTCAGGACCAAGGCTTTATAATGCTTGTGCTAGAGTTTGGGATAATTGTTCATGAAATTTAAAAATGTGTATTATCTTTGATATTTATGGTGCTAACAGCTTGCATAAAAGTAAAATTAAATGTTGTGCTCTGAACAACTATGCTAGATACATTGCTATCTTTCAAAAATTATTTCTGAAAATCCAAAAAGTTAAAGAGAATCCACTTGACCAGCTGGAGGTGCAGCTGTTCTCTGGCCCTGTGTAGTTTTTGCAGGGGGCTTCCCATTTCTTGGGCTGTAGGGTCTCCTTCATCTGTCAGAGGACAGGGTGGAGGAGGCCTCTATAAAAATAAAATCATAAAGCCAGCAGCATGAGGTGTGGTGCAAACATGCTTGTCTGTCTGGGAAGAGTGGAAATTAATTCAGCTTTTCTGGAAACCCCTGGGGTAGCTTTTCGGAGAACCTTAGTTCACCCCTAGTAAGGTGTCAGAGAGGACCGGGATCCTGTCCGTAGATACTCAGAAGCAGCATGTTTCCCAGGTAAAGCTGGGATTAAAACTTAATTCAGTGGCAGTGAACCAGGTAGAGAGGGAGAAAGGCTGTTTCAGTGACGTGGGGAAGTGCTTACATTGAGTGAGAAAAGCAATCTACAGAAGTATACATATGGGATGCCAGCGGTTTTATTCTTATATGTGATTGGGAGGAATATCTTGAGATGTGGCAGTGGTGGCTTGTCTAAATTTTCTTCCTGTTTTCTACTGTGAAGAAGGATAGGTTCAGTTTATAATTTAATTTTTAAAAAAGTGTTTTAGTCAAATTTTTTTTTCAGGGTTGGCAACATCACATAGATTCCTGTACCGCGCAGTCAGGATAAGATGGCAAAGAACACAGTTTCAAATTAATTCATTTTCCCATTGCTGTTGACTAATTATTTCTCATTATAATCTCATCTGTATTTCAGTCGTATTGTATTTTAATGTCTTCTCTGTGAAAAACTGTAAATTATAAACGTACTTTAACATAGCTTTTCTACCCTACTTTTTATAGGAGCAGCACACTATTGAAGTTCCTCTTTTTTTTGCATAACTGTTTGCCTATTATGGTTTTAAGCTGCTTTGCCAAGCATGACTTATGTGTTTCTCTTTAGAGCTTGGCCACCCTCCTGATCACCTCCCAGGTCATTAACCAAATCCTGGAATCTCTTCTTCCTTACTGGCTGCAAAAGAAGCACAGTGTGAAGGTCAAGAGGAAGGTGCAGGCTTTAAAGGTGGACGTTGATGCCACATTATATGAACAGGTCATCTTGGAAAAAGAAATGGGGACGTATTTGGTAAGTTGGAATATTGCTGGATTGCCCGTTACTGGGAGTGAGTCACAGTCAGGCCTGAGTCCCACAAATGCTGCACACTGTGGACTCAGATGTGGCCACTTCTGCAGTCTTCCTCAGCCAGTCTCCTCACCGTGAGCCACTTCTAGAGGTAGAACTTCTAGTTTTAGTTTTTGAGGAATCTCCATCCTGAGTTCCATAGTGCTTGTACTAGTTCACATTCTCATCAGCAATTCCATTACAGCTACTCCCCTTCTAGTAATTCTGCTAGATTATACTACAGATGACCTCAAAGAGTTAAAGACGTTGCATTATAGTGATCCATGCACACTCATGTTCATAGCAGCACAATTCATAACAGCTAAATCTTGAAAGCGGCCTGTATGTTCATCAGATGAGTGGATAAGTACTTACACACAGTGGAGTACTGCTCTGCCATAAAAGGGATAAATTTGAATTATTTGTAGGAAAATGGATGCACCTTGACTATAATGTTGTGACATAAATCAGACTCAGAAGTGTCAGTATCACATCGTTTCTCTTACATGAGAAACCCAAAATAAAAATAAAAGGTAGACAATAGGAAGTATGGAGGTAGATCTAGGATTTAATAAAGTGTTTTACACACGGTGCCAGTTCCACACAGGGCCTGTAAACACCGCAGCCTGTACTCACGGACCACTGAGGGAAGGAAAGGTGGACTGTGCGCTAAAGGGCTCAGTCTGGGCCTGAAGTTCTGCCCAGCCGCAGCCCTGGGCAGTTTGGAGACCGTTTGCTCTGCAGAGACAGGGTGGGAAGCTTGCATCACAGCTGAGGGACGCGGGCAGAAGGTTGGAAGAAGCAGGCAGCACCTGCCCTCAGCACCCAAACTCAGAGAAAAACTATCATTGCGGCGAAAGACCCACTGCTGAAAAATCCAGTGCCAGTGCACGTTTAGTTTAAATGTTTGCTATTGTAAATACAAAGTGTTCCCCGTGAGACAGAATTTCTGACGCATTTTCAGGAGCTGCACACAAATCATTAGAGGTTTGGTGCTTGGAGCATCTGAAAGCTGCAGCTGGTGAAGCCCAGCTGTGCCTTCATGAGGGAGCTTTCCCTGCGCTTGGACCAGGACCACTGTCTGCCGAGGGGGCGGTGTTTCTTCCACCCTGTGCCCTCCTCCTGGGCAGGGTGGCGTCTCTGCGTGTTCCCTGAGGGTCCATCGTGATAAACTTACATGGTCTGCTTGTCTGTCTGAATCCTTCTGGGATCCCTGGCTTTCTTGGCTGCTTTGCATAGTTTTGCTCCTGCACTGGTTTGTAAGCTCATCTTGGGCGAGAGCTGCCCTCCTCCTCTGCTGGCCCCTGCTTCTCTCTGCCTTGTCCTTTCCAGTTGTCTCTATGGAGCCTCCAGGTCCTCGGTCCAGGCGCTCATAGCCCAGAGCTCCAGTCTTGGATGACATGGAGATCCCGCAGGTCTGCACGAGCTGGAAGATCACTGTCCACGCAGCTGTTGCTCCTGGGCTAGGCTGTGGCCTTTGTCTGCCAGGCGTGTGGGCAGGAGTCACTGTCCTCTGGTCTCCCTCACTGGCCGGCTCCAGTCCCACTGCAGGGGACCGGTGCCTTGGTTCTCGCTGATCCTCGCCACCGTGAGCACCCTGGCCCTGTCCTGCCTTGCCACTCTCACCTACACAGCTGTTTTCCTGCGTTTTGCCTGGTGACCAGGTCCTTTGATGAGCATGCCTGAATTTGCCACGGGCATTTTCTACCGGAGCTGGGTTTGGGGAGAAGGTTCAAAGTGCACACTCCGCAGTGCAGCTAGTTCGACAGCAGCACTGCTGTTTGTATATGAAATGCGGAGGAGCAGTGCACAGAGGGAGAGGAAAGCTGGGGGGCAGGGGAGCCAGCACGGTGTCCTGGCCTGGCTGGCCGAGGGCTGTGCGCTGTGCGTCCCGTTATATCGAGATCCTCTCCACATGCATGTGGGGAGAGGTAGTTCGGGCCACATTTGTTTTTTGTCCCTTGGTCACCGGTGGACACTGGCCCCATGCTCATCACTGTGTTCCCTCTGGAGAGGCCTCAGCTGGCCCCTGCACCAGCTGCCCCCAGTTCTCCTGCTGGTGCCCCTTGTGGCCTCCCCAGCCCTCAGCAACCAGCCTGTTTTAAAAGGAAACCAGCCCTTCACTCTGCTGTTCACGTCCTGTCTCTTTCCTGCCTGCCTCTTAGTCATTCTCCATATTTTGGTCACTAATGTCCCAGTCCTCTTCCTGTAACCAGTCAGCATCTGCTCGTCTTTTTTTCTGAAATTGGGTGAACACATCCCCGCTGAAAGGGCCCCAGCCCAGGCTCAGTCTCTGCACACACACTTCCCTGCCGTCCCCACTCAGACAGCAGGCGCCTCAACCACGCGGCTCTTACACAGCTGGGAACTGGTGCCGGTAAGGAGGGGTGGCCCAAATCCAGCCTCAGACGACACCTCTGTGAAGGAGGGTGAGGGGTCAGGCGTGTCGCATTTACTGCATGTGTGGCAACACTAGAATTATGCTGAGGCTTGGAAAGCAGGCAGCTGAAGCGCCCTTAGGAGTCAGTGGCTAAATCAGAACAGAGTGCGTGAGAGTCTTTCTGTGCCACTGCTGGGGCTCTTTGCTGCCAAGTGGAGGAACTGGTGTCCCGGTTGCTCTTGCCTGCCCAGGGCTCCTTAACTCACCTGAGGGTCCTTCATGGCTGGCTGTCTCCATCCTCGCCTCCTCTCTCCACTGGAGGGATAGTAACATTTGCTTTCCATGGTCCGCACACCGGGAGAGGGCAGGCACTGTGAGTCTCCTGGATGTTCTAGGTGAGGTGTCCGGTGCATTGTCCTTGCGTCTTGGTGCATTTTGCTGCACCGAAGTCAGAGCGTTTAGAAATGCGTGTCCTGTAATCACACCCTGGCTGCTGTAGGTGAGTCTAAGACAGTGTCACCCAGCTTGGGGAAGAAGTAGTTCAGCTAAAATTTAAAAAAGACCTATTATGAAAGTAATGTCTGCCTGCTCACTGTAGAAAACTTGGAAAATGCAGGACAAATAAGAAAAGAATCGCGCCACACCCTCAAGGATGACCCATGGGGGTCCTGACCTTGTCCCCAGCCCAGGATGAGGGCTGTACAGTCTCGTGGACCTCACTGGCTGCGCTGCTTTGCCTTGGTCCTGCTGGTTTGTGTCCAGCTGCACAGCCGTGGGAGGCTGGGTTTTTGCAGCCTGTGCTCCAGCTCCAGCCGCATCGGGAGGGAGCTGCCTTGTGGAAATGGAAGCAAGGGTCGCTCCTTGCACTTCAACACATTCTGTTGTGGAGAATGTAATCATATCTCAAAAGATACTGCATTTAAATTAATGTTACTATTTCACTGAACTAAGGAACAAAATTAAATTTCTCAAGTGTAATTTCAATTTGGTAAATATCACTAGATAAGATCATGTAAGGGTGTCCTTTATGTGTTTGGTAACTTTTCAGAGTTTAAACCAAGAAGTCTGAAAACCGCAGATACGGAATAAGCTCCCGGCCTTGCTTCTCAAGACATTAGTCTTTGCGAGTCACCGTGTGCTTGGTTCCTCCTGAGGTTCCAGTGGGGTGGCCTTTTAAATGTCCCTCAGTGGGCCACGCTGTTGGATGCCACTGTCAACCTGGTGACACATTTTAAAGGCTCTTTTTTGTTTTATAATCAGTGAGTTACCTGGTGGGAGAAACCTCGAGACCTTCTGTTTCCTGTATATGGTGTCTTTTCTAATTGTGTGTTGCTGGCATATGGGAACACGGTTGAGTTTTGGATCTTTACCAGCAAGTTTGTTGGACTCTCCTATTATTTCCAGTATTTTTTTCCTATAGATTTTCTACCTAAACAGTTATTTCAGCTATAAATAATGTCCATTTCCTTTCTCCAGTTTTTCTTGTTTTTCTTATGTCAGGCTCACTCATATATTCAGGGTGACTTGGATACTATTTTTAATCTGTATCTTAGTCCTGATTTTTTTGTCTTCCTACCACTGGGTGTTATGTTTATTCTGTGTTTTAGAACACAACTTTTTATCAGTTTAAAAATGTCTTCTCTTTCTTATTTTCTAAGAGATTTTTTATTTTAAAAAGCTAAATAATTTTTTTTATTGTTTTTTTATTCTATGGTGATTTTCATCTCTTTATTTAGTATATTTATTCACATTAATAAATTTCCTAATGAAACACCTGCTGAAATTCAAATAATTAACTCTACCAGTTGAATATTTTTACATACATTGCTGTGTAGAGTATACTAATATTTTATTTAGGATTTTTTTTTGCCATTGGCTGATAATTTTCTTTCTCAGTCACTGAGAGGAAGGGCCCCGAATTATTTATCATAAAAACCCTGTTTCTAATGCAGAGCCTGGCATTTAGCAGTGACCTTAGTGTCTTGGTTACTTTTCTCATTCCTGGGGCAAAATATCCTTAAAGGATAAAAGGTTTATTTCAGCTTACAGTTTGTAGAGGTTTAGTCCATAGTTGGCTGGCTCCAAGGCAGGGTGGCATGGCAGAGGGGCATCACAGAGGAGAAACAGTCCATGGCAGGATAGACAGGAATCAGTGGAGAGTGAATGTGCCTTCTTTCTGTCTTTTTATATTCTATCTAGGCTGCAAGCCTATTGATTGGTGCCACCTACTCCTGGCGGTGGGGGGGGGGGGCTTCCCTCTTTAGTAAATCTGTTCAGCCACACCTAACACTATGGTGAGCCAATTAGGGGACTAATTCAGATATCACACAATCTTAATCCATATTTATGCATCCTAGATCCAGCCATCCCTAAAAAGCCCCACCAGGAGCACATGAGGCTTTGGGGGGACATTTAGATACTAGCCATGACAGTGTAATATTTAATAGGCAAAGGACAGCGCTGTTCCCTGAGGTCTGCCCTAGTTGCTACCTTCACACTGTGCTTTCTTTCCTTGCCCTTAAATCTGTGCTACATAAAGGCCCAGCATAGGCAACTCTGAGACAGATGAGCAGGTGGGACAGGT